GGTGGCCCCCGAGTGTACCCGGCGTCCGCGCGAGGCCCTGAGTCTGCCTGAGACACACTCAGAGCACTTGGCAGGCTGGGGAGGGCAGCCGGAGATAGCGGGGCAGATGCGGGGTCTGTCGGGACACACTCGCCGCTCCCCTCTCTGCTCCGTGGCAGACACGCCTCAAATTCCTCAGAGGGGTTTGCACCTCATTCCGAAGAACTCCGACATCCGGAGGCAAGGGCACCTGTCCGGGGGTCCCCTCACGAGAAGCCCCTGATGCCCCTTTCTGCCCACTGAGCTATCCAAAAAAGAAGTCAGGTACATCCCCGCAAGCCTGCCTCAGTTTCCCCACCAGTACTGCCTCGGGCTGGGGGTTCACGGGAATCCAGCCTCACACTCCGGTCCCTCTGCAGCATGTTCCTTCGGGGGGGCCTTCCCGCACCCCGGCTCCCAGGCCAGTGCTCCGTACGAGGCAGAAACTTTGATATTTGTTCTTCAAACATTTCTTTTATTCTTTAGGGTTTTGGGGGAAGGGGACGCTGGGTGAAAGTAATCAGTTTTCGGACTTAAGATAAAAAATCGCAGCGAAGGGCCGGTTTGACTCCTTATAATTAATGGGGCGGCTCGTAATAGGATTCCCCTGCCCATGGCGCTCCCAGGAAACACCTTTTTACATAAGATATTGCCCACCCGGAGTGGCAGCGGGTGATTTATGGGGTTCCTGGCTCCAGAAAGCCTCTCCTGGGGTTGCCCAGCCAGCAGGATTTATCGGGCAGCGCACAAGGCGGGGACAAGCCTGGGTGACATTTCAGGTGGAGTTTTTTTTTTTTTCCTTTCTTTTTTTTTTTTTTTGACTTTTTGGGTCACACCCAGTGATGCTCAGGGCTTCCTCCTGGCTCTGTACTCAGGAATTACTCTTGGCGGTGCTCAGGGGACCATCTGGGATGCCGGGGATCGAACCCAGATGGGCCAAGTGCAGGGCAAATGCCCTCCCCGCTGTGCTGTCGCTCCAGCCCCCCTCAGGTGGAGTGTAAAAGGCACAACAGAGGGGGTGCAAGGGCAAGGCTGATGAGGGAGGCAGCTCCACCAACAGAGTTCCTGAGATGGGGCTTCTATCTGGGGGGCCAGAGCTGGCAGTGCTCAGGGCTGACTCCTGGCTCTGTGCTCAGGGATCACTCCTGGCAGTGCTCAGAGAACCATATAGGGCGCCAGGGATCGAACCCAGGTCAGCCGCATGCACGGCCAGCACCTTCACTCCTGTGTTACCTTGCCCATCCCGAGACGGTGTCTTAGCAGATTTATAAAGGGAGGGTGTGGGGGGTGTCTGTCGGGGGCTAGAATGGGGTATCTGACTCAGTCTGATCCCTGGGACCAGCCTGTCACCCCCTTTACCAGGATGAGCTTGGATGGGGCCACCCTGCAGAAAGGCATCATGTCAGGCGTCCCTGGACGGGCCCCCGCAGGACATCTCAGGGAGCTGTGACCCCCAGCTGCCTGGGGCTGGTACACCCCGCTTGGCGTGAGGGCAGCTCTGGGAACTTCCCCAGCAGAGGCAACAGACTTTGGGGGATCAGTATTGGCCAAAAGGGCTGGGCCAGGGAGGAGAATGCTCCACCAGCCCCTTCACCACCGTCACCATCTCCCCTGCTGCCCCAGGACCTTTGCACCTGCTGTGCTCAAAGCCCTCAACCCCCCCCCCCAGCCCTCCCTTCACTCTCCTTTCCAGAGAGTCCTTCTTGGACCCCCTAAGAGACTTCAAAAGTGAGCCAAAAGATGAGACGGTTCAACAGGTACCCCGCGGTCTCCTGAGCACCCCTCGGGTGACTTCTGAGCACTGAGCTGAGAGTAGCCCCTGAGCCGACTGGTATGACCCAAAAGAAAAAAGAAAAGAAACCAATTTTTCTGGAGCAACCAAACAGAGCTTAAAAGGCTCCTTCAGACGGAGCAGGGCTGACCCGCGCGCTCCTGTCCACACACAGTGCTCCCTCCTGGAGCTCAGTCCCCCTCGCTGGGGCCGCCTAAGTGTGGGCGGGCAATGGCTGCCAGAGACAGATGCAGAAGATGCAGTGACTCTCCGCATTCTATAAACACAGGGATGTGTGTGCCTCCCCTCCGCCTCCCTCCCTCTCCCTCTCCCTCTCCCTCTCTCCCTCTCTCTTCCTCCCTCTGTCTCTGTCTCTGTCTCTGTCTCTGTCTCTGTCTCTGTCTCTCTCTCTCTCTCTCTCTCCCCCCATATGAGAGTCTGCCTTCCCTGCAGCTCTGGGGCGCTCGGGTTCCCCCTCCCGCAAGCTGGGCCCCCTGCTGCGCTTCCCTGGTCCCCCCTCCCCCCCCTCCCCGCACTGCGGGCAGGGCAGCACCTCTTGGATAAGCCAGACGCTCCTTCCCAGTGCTCACGTCACTGGGACTCCTGGCTGAGGAGCAGAGCCAGGCACGGAGGGGGGGGGTGGGGGGGAGCGGGGAGGGGGGAGTCAGGGAGGGTTCGGCCGCACCACGTTGCCCTCCCTCACCCCGCCCTGTTCCTCCCGGCCCCCCTCCCCTCCCTTGGGTGCCAGCCAGGGGCGCCCAGCAGGTGAGGGACCTGTGTTATCTGCACGGCGTCAGCAGCCAGGGCTGCTTATCTCCAGCCCCAGGAGAGGCGCGCACAGCAGCTGACGGGCTCCCAGGAGGTCGGCCCAGGCGCAGCGGGTCCCTGGGGGGCGACGGGGGGTCCCGGCAGGGGCCCTGGCACCACCCCCCGGCCCTCCCGGCCCAGCCAGCTGCCCCCTTTGGAGACGCGTTGCTGCCCCCTGGCGGTAGAAAAGTTGACTTCACTATCTTTGAACCTGGCTGGACCCCATCCTGTGGGTGGGACCCCCAAAGAGAGAGCACCCCACTGCGCCCCTCCCCCATGCCCACCATCCCGGCCAGAGCCCGCGTGGGCCTCAGTTTCCCCGTAGTAAAATAGGGATGATCCTAATGGTTTCCACTTGGACGACAGAACAGAAAGTTAGGAACCGAGCAATAGCACAGCGGGGAGGGCACCTGCCTTGCACACACCTGCCCAGGGCTGAATCCCGGCGCCACCTATGGTCCCAGAGCCCCGCCACAAGAGACCCCTGGGCAGAGCCAGGAGTAAGCCCTGAGCACTGTCAGGTGTGACCCAAGAGAAAGAAAGAAAGAAAGAAAGAAAGAAAGAAAGAAAGAAAGAAAGAAAGAGAGAAAGGAAGAGGAAGGAAGGAAGGAAGGAAGGAAGGAAGGAAGGGAGAAAGGAAGGAAGGAAGGAAGGAAGGAAGGAGAGAGAAAGAAAGAAAGAAAGAAAGAAAGAAAGAGGAAGGAAGGAGAGAAAAAGAGAGGAAGGAAGGAAGGAAGGAAGGAAGGGAGAAAGGAACGAAGGAAGGAAGGAGAGAGAAAGAAAGAAAGAAAGAAAGAAAGAGAGGAAGGAAGGAAGGAAGGAGAGAGAGAAAGAAAGAGAAAGGAGAGAAAGAAAGAAAGAAAGAAAGAAAGAGAGGAAGGAAGGGAGAAAGGAACAAAGGAAGAAAGGAAGGAGAGAGAAAGGAAGGAAGGAAGGAAAGAGAGAAAGAAAGAAAGAAAGAAAGAAAGAGAGAAAGAGAGAGAAAGGAAGAGGAAGGAAGGAAGGAAGGGAGAAAGGAAGGAAGGAAGGAGAGAGAAAGAAAGAAAGAAAGAAAGAAAGAAAGAAAGAAAGAGGAAGGAAGGAGAGAAAAAGAGAGGAAGGAAGGAAGGAAGGAAGGAAGGGAGAAAGGAACGAAGGAAGGAGAAAGAAAGAAAGAAAGAAAGAAAGAGAGGAAGGAAGGAAGGAGAGAGAGAAAGAAAGAGAAAGGAGAGAAAGAAAGAAAGAAAGAAAGAGAGGAAGGAAGGGAGAAAGGAACAAAGGAAGAAAGGAAGGAGAGAGAAAGGAAGGAAGGAAGGAAGGAAGGAGAGAGAAAGAAAGAAAGAAAGAAAGAAAGAAAGAAAGAAAGAGGAAGGAAGGAGAGAAAAAGAGAGGAAGGAAGGAAGGAAGGAAGGGAGAAAGGAACGAAGGAAGGAGAAAGAAAGAAAGAAAGAAAGAGAGGAAGGAAGGAAGGAAGGAGAGAGAGAAAGAAAGAGAAAGGAGAGAAAGAAAGAAAGAAAGAAAGAAAGAGAGGAAGGAAGGGAGAAAGGAACAAAGGAAGAAAGGAAGGAGAGAGAAAGGAAGGAAGGAAGGAAGGAAGGAAGGAAGGAAAGAGAGAAAGAAAGAAAGAAAGAAAGAAAGAAAGAAAGAAAGGAGGGAGGGAGGGAGGGAGGGAGGAAGAAAGAGAGAGAAGAAAGGAAGGAAGGAAGGAAGGAAGGAAGGAAGGGAGAGAAAAAAGGAAGGAAGGAAGGAAGGAAGGAAGGAAGAGAAAGGAAGAGAGAGGAAGGAAGGAGAGCAAGAAAGAAAGAAAGAAAGAAAGAGAAAAGAAGAGGAAGGAAGGGAGAAAGGAAGGAAGGAAGGAGAGAGAAAGAGAGAAAGAAAGAAAGAGAGGAAGGAAGGGAGAAAGGAACAAAGGAAGAAAGGAAGGAGAGAGGAAGGAAGGAAGGAAGGAAGGAAGGAAGGAGAGAAAGAAAGAAAGAAAGAAAGAAAGAAAGAGGGAGGGAGGGAGGGAGGGAGGGAGGGAGGGAGGGAGGGAGGGAGGGAGGGAGGGAAGAACATTCCCTGGAGTGTTTCTGGCATAGGACTGTGAAAGCGGGCAGGGGCTCTGAGACGTGACCCACCTCCCCCTGCCCTGGGCAGCTCCCCGAGGGACGCTCCACCTGGCAGAGCCCCCTCCACACCCGCTTCAGTCCTGGAGCTGCTTCACCCCAGAGCAGGCCTCGAGGCTGCCCTGCACTTCCTGCGCGTTCACGGAGGAGAAACAGCAAACCCTGGTGACGTCAGCTCAGATTTATTGGCCAGAGGAGGGCTCGGAGAGCAGCCTGGGAGGACTTCCTGGAGGACGTGGCCAGCACAAAGGCACAGGGCCGCGTCCCTGCCACCGGCGGCCACCGAGGCGCGTCTGCCACCGACGGGGTCTCCTGGGGCCTCTCAGAGCACGAGCCTTGGTTTTCATTTCTGGCCCAGCTGGGTTTTCAGGGCCTGCAGCTCCCGGCTGTCAATGCTGTTGCCCCCACACACGATGACCACAACGGAGGCCAGCGGGGAGGGCAGGCGGCCCTCGGCCTGCAGCCGGCCCAGGAGGCCCGAGTAGATGGCGGCCAGGGCGGCCCCGCAGGCGGGCTCCACCAGCATCCGCTCGTCATCTGCCGGCGAGAGAACCGCCAGCTCTCAGCACCAACCCCACTGCCACCCCCCATGCCCCATCTACGTGCCTGGCCACCCCCTCACCCTCACCCTCATCCAGCACCCAGCACCCAGCACCCAGCACCCAGCACCCAGCACCCACCCACCCATCCACCCACCTATCCATCAACCACCCAGGCACCGTTCACCCACCCTCCATCTACGCATCCTTTTACCACCCACCCGCCCCCACCCGCCCTCGTCCCCCTGGCCCGTCTCCCCTCACCCCTGCTCATCTACCACTCAGCCCGCATCTCCTGGGCACTTGCCCTGCAGGAGAGGGAGCCCCGGCCCCGCCCTCGTGAGCGCCCCCACCCCCACCCCCGAGGCTACTAAACCCAGGCTCTGGGCAGGGCCTTGGGGGTCGGGGGGAGCCCGTGAGGACTGAGCAGGCAGCCAGAGGGAGGAGGCGTGAGCACTGAGGATGGAGGCAGCAGGACCTGCACTCCGCCCTCTCCCGGGTTGCTCGAAGGCACCCGCCCGGCAACGCGAACGCGAGGGACGGAGTCTAGACAGAGAGGACGGGAGGGCGGGCGAGGGACTCCTGGCTCTGCGGGGGACCCTGCGGGGTGGGGGGCGGCGTGCGCTCACCCAGGAACCGCTGCACAGCGCTCACAGCCTCGGCGTCCGCCACCACCTCGGAGACCACCTTGACCCGCCGTGCGCACTCCAGGGCACCCGCTGCCACCGTCTTGGCGCCCAGACACCTGGCCACACTGGGGGGGGGGGCAAGAGGGTGACCCCCTCACCCCCCCCTTGACTCAGAAGGGCTCAGGAATTAGCACCTGTCCAGCCCCTCACTCCCAGACACGTGACCGTGCCTTGATGGCCGTCACTGTTTTCTTCTGCTGTTTCCCCGCCCAGAGAGGTTAAGGAACTGACTCGAGGGCACACAGCAGCCTGTGGCAGGGTGCATCTTCAAGCCTGAGCATCCTGGCTGCAGCACCCCTGCTCCTAAGTGGGTAGCTTTGGGGTCGGGAGAGGCAACCTGGAAGCTTCCAGAATGCACTCCAACCTTGAGTGGCCCCGGGCTTCCCCTCACCGAGCCTCCATGGCCCCATCTGGAAAATGGGCCCATGACTGAGCCTAGTTTGGGGTAGTAGTTTTGGGTCCCACCCAGCAATGCTCAGGGGTTGCTCCTGGCTCTGCACTCAGGAATCACTCCTGGCGGTGCTTGGGGGACCCTATGGGATGCTGGGAACCGAACCTGGGTTGGCTGTGTGCAAGGCAAACGTCCTCCCCGCTGTGCTACCGCTCTGGCCTCTCTACTTGCTGCTGTGCATGGGTCACAGCTGGCAGTGCTCTTGGCTACTCCTGGCTCAGTACTCATTCCTGCAGTGCTCAGGCATCGGGACTGTGGGCCAGGGTTCCGGCATACAGAACCTGCACCCCAGCCCTGAGCTGGGACCCCAACCTCTAGGAGGCCAATCTGAGCGCCCTGCCTTTGGGGGCTGATTTCCCGCTGCGTGTCCACTGCCCCATGTGTCCACTGTCCCTGCTTTTCCACTGTCCCTGCTGTCCACCTCCCCTACTGTCCACTGCTCCTGCTCTCCACCGTACCTGCTGTCCACTGTCCCTGGATGTCCACTGCCACTGCTGTCCACCGCCCCTGCTGTCCACCACCTCTGCTGTTCACTGTCCCTGCGTGTCCACTCTCCCTGCGTGTCCACTGTCCCTGTGTGTCCATCTCCCCTGCTGTCCACTGTCCCTGCATGTCCACTGCCCCTGCCGTCCACTGCCCCTGCTGTGTGTCCACTGTCCATGTGTGTCCACTGTCCCTGCTATTCACCACCCCTGTTGCCCGCTGTCCCTGCGTCCCAGCGTCCCCACAGCCCGTGATGTCTTGGGCAGTGGCAGGAAACTGGCCGCGCAGAGGGGCAGGACGGGGGTCGGGAGGCCCTTGAAGGGCCACAGTCCTGGGGCCCCGGGCCAGCCCTCCTAGCTGCCCCCCGCTCCGGTTGGGCCTGGGTGTCTGGGGCAGGGCCCCTGGCGCATACCTGGTGATGTCCGGGAGGGTCACCAGCTTGCCCGCCCTGAGCGCAGCGTGGAAGGAATCGGCCCCTCGGGTCTCCACGGCGACGATGGGCACGTCCTGCCAGCCCACCTGCTCCAGGCCTGCGGCCACCCCGGCCAGCAGCCCCCCGCCCCCCACGGCCAGCACCAGGGCCCCGGGCGGGGACCCCAGCGCTGCCTTCAGCTCCTGCACCAGGCTGGCGTGGCCTTCCCTGGGGAGAGGGGGGCAGAGTGAGGGGGGTCGGGAGCAGGGGGGACCCGCCTGGCTCCACCCCCCACCCCTGCCCGGCAGCCTCCGCCCCCTCCCTCCCCCATTCATCCCGCGGCCACTCGCCAAGCAGGAAAGTGGGTGCATGGTGCCGGGGACCCAGCTGGCGCCCATGTCCCTCTGGTGCCGGGGCCACGTGTGGTGCTCCCTGCTGGGTGACCCCAGGCAAGTGATCGCCGTCCTGGGCCTCCCTCCCAGTCCCCTGAGGCTGGGGGACAGGTGCTGCAGCCCACTGTCCCCTTCCCTCCTCTCCGGGCCTCAGTTTCCCCTTCGCCAGGCGCGGGCAGAGGGCAACCTGGAGCCGCCGCGGGCGGGGTCCACGCACCAGATGAGCGGGTGGTCGAAGGGGGGCACGTCCACCCAGCCGTCCTGCCTGGCCAGCTCGCGCGCCCTCACGTTGGCCTCGTCCCAGACCTGTGGGGGACGACGGGACGGAAGAAGCCCCTGGCGGGCCTGGGGGGCAGAGGAGCCTCCTGCTGGGCCCTCAGGGGACCCCAAGAGGAGAGCCGCGCCCCCAGATTCTGGCGGAGCAGGGGGCGGGGTCTGCGTCCCGCCCACCAACCAGGAGCGAAGCTGCCCGCCCCCCGGGGCCCCTCCCACAGCCCCTCCGAGACCCCCTCACGCCCGAGCAGCCGCCCCAAATCCTGAGACCCCCGAAGTCCCGGCGCTCGGGGTCCTGGGTGGTCTCCCGCGCCCCGCCGCACCAGCCCCCCCCATCCCTCCCCCCTTTCCTCTTCTCTTGCTTTTTTTGGGGGGATTTAGGGCCCTCCCCCGCGGGCTCAGGGGTTCCTCCTGGCTCTGCGTCAGGAATGACCCCTGGTGGGGCTGGGGGACCCTGTGGGTGCGGGGTCACTCGCACCCGCTTCCCCTGTGGACCTGGCTCCACCCCCCCACCCCTGCCCGGCAGCCTCCACCCCCTCCCTCCCCCATTCATCCCACGGCCACTCGCCAAGCCTGTCCACTCACAGCCCAGGGCGTTGGGGCCCGCCTGTGCCGGCCCCCCCACACTCCACCAGGCGCTCTCAGCCGAGGGCAAGGACGGACGCCAGCTGGCCTCGACCTTTCCCGGCTCTGCGCTGGCCGGGCGGGGGGTCCAGGTCCCGGCCTTGGTCCTGCTGAGCCCGCCGGGGCGGCCTGACCCGCTGCCCAGGCCTTGAGCGGAGATGCTGTGTCTCTCAGCCCTGAGCTGGCACCGACTGTTCGGCCAGAGCAGCTGCAAGGACGGAGAGGGGGGGCGCCTGCGGCCCCCACCTGCTCCCCGCCAGCAACGGGGAGCAATGGGCTCGGCACCCGGGGGTCACGGGCACCCTAGGATGGAGGGAAAGGAGGAGAGATGAATGGGTGAGGGAGGGAGGGAAAAAGGAAGGAGGGAAGGAAGGAAGGAAGGAAGGAAGGAAGGAAGGAAGGAAGGAAGGAAGGAGAGGGAGGAAGGAAGGAAGGAAGGAAGGAAGGAAGGAAGGAAGGAAGGAAGGAAGGAGAGGAGGAGGGAGGGAGGGAGGAAGGAAGGAAGGAAGGAAGGAAGGAAGGAAGGAAGAAAGGAAGGAGAGGGAGGAAGGAAGTAGGGAGGGAAAGGGAGGGAGGAAGGAGGAAGAGAGGGAGGGAAGGAGGGAGGAAGGAAAAAAGGAAGGAGGGAAGGAAAGAAAGAGAGGGAGGGAGAGAGAAAAAGAAAAGGAAGGAAGGAAGGAAAGAAAGAAAGAAAGAAAGAAAGAAAGAAAGAAAGAAAGAAAGAAAAGAGGGAGTGAGGAAGGGAGTAAGGAGGGAAGGTGGTTGGGAGGGAGGAAGGAGGCAGGGATACAGGGAGGCAGGGAGGCCAGGGAGATGGCAGGTGCGAGGCCATGCAGGAGCAGAGGTCCGAGGTGTGGAGACAGCCTCCCTGGTCCCCACCTGCTGTCTTTCCTTGGTGCACCCTGGGGTGTCTCCTCAGGGCGGGGCAGGGCCCCACCTAGCAGCCCAGCCCCCGTGGGGATGTGGGGGCTGCCCCCCCCCCGCTTACCTTCCCTGCCAGCTGCACCTCGGCCCCCTCCCCCTGCAGCCGCTTCACCACCTGCGGGGAGGAGCCCTCGGGGAGCACGATGGTGGCGGGGAGGCCCAGCTTCCGGGCGGAGTAGGCGGCGGCGATGCCCGCGTTGCCCCCTGTGAGGAGCGGGAAGGGAGAGGGCAGCGGGCGGCAGCCGCCTCGCACCCTCCCTGGGCCTCTGCGCGTCCGCCCTCCCCCCTGCCCCAGAGTTGAGACTGGACCCATCCAAACACTGAACTGCCTGGCGGTGACTGGACACCTGGGCTCAAGCACGTGCCCATGGGGAAGCCAGTGGGAAGGAAGGAAGGAAGGAAGGAAGGAAGGAAGGAAGGAAGGAAGGAAGGAAGGAAGGAAGGAAGGAAGGAAAGAAGGAAGGAAGGAAGGAAGGAGGGATGCAAGTGCTCGTGAGTCACAGGAAGGAGGCGAGCCCGGAGCTCCAGGCCACAGGCCCGTGTGAAGGCGAGACCCGCGTGGGCGGGAAAAGGCCAAGGAGGGAGTAAGGGGAGCTCCTGGATCCCGCCGTGCCTGAAACCCGCTGATCCCGACAGTCTTCCTGAAACGGTAACCGCGCTCCGCCAACGCCTGTCAACTAAGTTCCGGCCCTTCTCCCTAGAATCGTGGTGGGTCCAAGGGGGCTGGGCCTGGACATCGCCGCGTCTCCTGCTCCGCGACCCCCGTGGTCCCTGAGGACCCCCATGCGGCTGAAAGGGAAAGTCACCTGAGGAGCACACGAGGTGTCTGCAGCCCCTCTTGGCCACCTGGAAGAGAAGGGGTGGGGGGAGACCATCCAGATGGGGTCCTGGAGGCCTGTGGGGAGCCGGACCCTCCCCCTCCAGCCCTCCTCCACCCCACCCTGCTTGGGTCCCACCCAGCTGCTCTTCTTCCCTCCTGCCTTCACCTCCGAGCACCCCACTCCATCCCTCCTGCCCTCCACTCCCCTCCTCCTGCGCCACCTCTCTCCTCCCCTCCTCCATCCCCCCTGCACCACCTCCCTCCTCCCCTCTGTCCACACGGCTTCACCTCCTGGCAGTAGTGCCCGATGCCCCGGATCTTGAAGGAGCCGGCCGGCTGCACGTTCTCACACTTGAGGTAGACCGTGGTGCCCAGCAGCTGGGACAGCGCCCAGCTCTCCAGCAGAGGGGTGCTCACGTGGAAGTGCTCGGCCCGACCGTCCCCCATGGCTCCCGCCACCTAGGAGACCTGCAGGAGAACAGGGGTCGGCCAGGCAGCTCCCGGCGAGCCCTGGACGCAGGAGGGAGACAGGAAGCGCAGAACCCCTCAGCAGCCAGGCTGACTCTGGGCCAGCCACCGTGTGGGCCTCTGTGGGCCTCAGTTTCCCTCTGGACAAGAAGGTGGACAAAGGGTTATTCCCTGGACGGTCCATCTCTCTGCGGTTATGCTAAGGAGAGAGGGCGGCAGCAGTCACGCGATTGGGAGGTCACGGCGTGAGCGCCAAGTACCTGCGAGGCGGCTCCGAGTGTGGGGGCCCAAAGCAGGCGGAGGGACCCTGCTTAGCTGAGCCACATTCGGGTGGGAAGAGAGTCCCAGGACTTCAAACAGGAGTGACCGGAGGGGCCTTTGCAAGAACGATCGGGACAACGCTCTCAGGCTTCTGTACAAGTCAGTCCTTTTTTCTTTTTTTTTTTTTTTAGCTTTTTGGGTCACACCCGGCGATGCACAGAGGTTACTCCTGGCTCTGCACTCAGGAATTACCCCTGGCGGTGCTCAGGGGACCATGTGGGACGCTGGGAATCGAACCCGGGACGGCCGCGTGCAAGGCAAACGCCCTACCCGCTGTGCTATCACTCCAGCCCCGTCAGTCCCTTTTTTTTGAGGGCGGGAGAGATAATACAGCAGGTAAGGCGCTTGCCTTGCCCGCAGCTGACCCGGGTTTGAGCCCTGGCGGTGAGTATGAGTGAGTGTAAAGGCAAGAGGAAAACAAGTGTCCTGGCAGGAAAATATACGAGTTAACACATGAGCCTCCTGGGGTTGAATTCGCCCCACACGCAGTACCTGGACTTGCCACTAGGGGGTGCGCTGCTGCCTCCCGCCAGGCACCTACTGAGCGCCCCGGTGCGGCCACCCACAGGTGCCAGGTCCCTGGGCTGGGTCTGTGCCCTTGTCGGGATGACCCTGCGATCCCCAGAAGGAAAGCGGAGACCCTCCACCCCCAGCCGTCTCACGGAGGGCTCGTGGCCCAGCCCCCGGATGCTCCTTCCTCCTGGGTCCCTGAGCTCTGGGGTCAGCCAGAGACCGAGCCAGAGAGCTGCCCTGCTTCCCCTGCTGGGTGACCCGGCCCAGGTGTCTCCACCTCTCTGTGCTGGTTCCCCTTCCGTGAACAGGGACTCAATACAACAGCCCCCAGCGCACGCACCTTCGGGGGGCAAGGGAATGCCGTCTGTTCCTTGCTGGTGGCACTCGGAGCTGCCCTGCTACCTCTGGGCACCGAGGGGTGCACCTTTCCCAGCAGTGTTCTGGGGGTCAAACCCAGGCCTCCTGCCCACAGTCCCCACCAGCTGCTACTCAGTGCTGATCCCTGTTATGGGCCAGGAACAGGCTATGTCATCTAGAAGCATCTAGAAGCATCTAGAAGCATTGTTCTCCCAGGCCTCAGCCCTGTTACCTTGACTTCCTGCCCACACGCGTAGGAAGCTGTTCGCCAGACACACACACACACACACACACACACACACACACACACACACACACACGTGCGTCAATTTTTGTGTCCGATTTACAGTCCGAGGGCCCCGGAGGGGAGCCACCAGCCCTGGGGAGAGCCCGGAAGTGCCTCTGCAGACGGATCGTGACAGAGTCCCTGCGAGGTGCAAGCGAAGGCGCAGCGTCTGCCTGGAAATGTTGATTTTTGTTTATTTTAAAGATTTATTTCTGGGGCTGGAGAGATAGCACAGCTGGTAGGGCATTTGCCTTGCACGCAGCCGACCCGGGTTCGATTCCCAGCATCCCATAGGCACCGCCAGGGGTAATTCCTGAGTGCAGAGCCAGGAGTAACCCCTGTGCATCGCCGGGTGAGTCCCAAAAAGCAAAAAAATAAATAAATAAAGATTCATTTATTTGCTTTGGGGCCACACTCGGCGATGCTCAGGGCTTCCTCCTGGCTCTGCACTCAGGAATCACTCCTGGGAGTGCTCGGGGGACCCTATGGGATGCCGGGGATCGGACCCTGGTCAGTTGCGTGCAGGGCGAGCGCCCTCCCCGCTGGGCCACATGGTTCCAGTCCCTGCCCTGGAAACGTTGAATCACTTCGGATCATCATGCCCGATTCAGTGGGAGCTGGACCCCCTGTGTTATCTCAGCTCCTCATCACGACAGCCCCCCTCCCCCCCATCCCCCCCAGAGATCCTGCTCTTCCTGCCACAACAGGGACAATGAGACAGGCCCTGAGAGGCGGCACAGCACACCCAGGGTCACACAGCCCGGAAAGGCCCAGCAGGGGTCACACGCCGACCCTGCTCTGCTGCTGCTGGCTCGACCAGCTCCACACCACTCGCCCCTGGTCGTCTTCTATTATGACGAAAGGTTTGAGCAGAAATACTTTCTCATCCGTAGTCCTTTGGAGCCCGGAGCTCTGGGTTATTCAAGCAGTTACACAAGAGCCGGGCGGGCAGCAGCCGCGGGCCAAGCCCCAGGCGCCCCGGGAGGTCCCGGCCGGGACAGAGGGAGGTGAGGCCAGGCCTGGGCGAGGTCCCAGCACCCAAGACCTCCAGCGTCCTGTCTCCTTGTGGCCACCCTCTGTGTGGGGCGGGTTTGGGGGCCGGGTCTGGTGGGATTCATGGGCGGGGGTCTGATCCCAGCTGAGTGCCACCCGGGGCCGCTCCAGGGGTCCTTGGGACAACCGTGTCCCGTGGGGGCTCCTGAGCACAGGGAGGACCCCCCCGGGCTGGTGCCCAGAAGCCATCGGGTGTCAGATGCCACAGGTGTCAGAGTTAGACGCCCAGGTCGCCTCCCTCCACCTCAGGCCCGGCAGGAAGCCACGGGCACCTCAGAGGGTCGATATTCAGGGGAGGGTTTAGGCCGCCCTCCAGCTCATCCCGGACTTCGCCCCAGAACCTTCCAGACTCAGACCCAATCACATGCACACAGAGCTCTCGCCAGCCCTGTCCGGGCCCTGACAGCCCCACTCGGACGCCCCCCCCACCTCCACCGGCCCTTCTTACCTTGGCGCCCCAACAGTGCCCAGCCTGGCTCAGCCGTGGCCCTGGCTCAGCAGCTGGCCCTGGGGCACTGCCCAGCTTCCTGCAGCCCAGCCCCTCCCCCATTAAAGGGACAGCCGCAGGCTCAGAGGGACGGCTGTGGTTTCCCCAGGGGTGGCCCATTAGACAGATGAGGAGATTAAGGCTCAAAAAGGCCACGGCCTTGGCCCTGCCACCTCGTCAGTAAGAGGCACCCCTGACCTGCTACCCTGGGCCCCTTCTTTCTTGATTTTTTTTTCAAACTCCTTTCTTCAAATAACCTCAGTTTCCCTGGACCAGCCTCAGGGAAGACGCTCTGTTGGAGTGCTCGCACGTTCTCCTAAACTAGTTACTTGCCGTTCCTAAACGTCATTTTTTTTTCTTCTTGGGTCACACCCGGTGATGCTCAGGGGATTACTCCTGGCGGTGCTTGGGGGGTCCTATGGGATGCCGGGGTTCAAACCTGCGTTGGCTGCGTTGCAAGGCAAACGCCCTCCCCGCTGTGCTACGCTCCGGCCCCAACATCTTGTTCCTAACGCAGTTGCTTCATTTTTGTTCCTACGTGAGGCGTCACGCCTTAGGGTCGCGTCACGATTCCTGCTTTCGAGGTACAGTGTCACCGCCCTGCCCCACCACCAGAGTGCTGCATCCCCTGGACCTTGGTCCCTTCCCTGCCCTCCCCAGCCCTGCTTGGCACGTTCCCTGAGGGTTTGCCAGCACCGACCCCTGCTCGCTCGGTCACTCGGGGTCTCTCTCCCTCACCCCCCCCCAGCAACACCCACATAGCACGTTTGGTTTTCTTTTCCCCCTTTTCCTTATCTGTGCTCAGGGCTGACTCCTGGCTCTGTGCTCAGGGGACTATCGGTGCTGGGGATCGAACCCAGGCTGGCCACATGCAAGGCCAGTGTCCTCCCTCTGTGGACCCTTAACCATTTCCCTTGGGCAAATGTGCCTCCATTTCATTTTTTTCTATTTTTTTTGTTTGTTTTTTGGGTCATACCCAGAAATACTCAGGGGCTACTCCTGGCTCTGCACTCAGGAACTACTCCTGTGCTGGAGAGATAGCACAGCGGGGAGGGCGTTTGCCTTGCACGTGGCCGACCCGGGTTCGATTCCAAGCATCACGTATGGTCCCCTGAGCACCGCCAGGAGTAGCTCCTGAGTGCAGAGCCAGGAGTAACCCCTGTGCATCGCCGGGTGTGACTGAAAGAGCAAAAAAAAAAAAAAAAATTACTCCTGGTGGTGCTGGGGGGGGGGGCACCTTATGGGATGCTGGGGATCGAACCCGGATCTGCCGCATGCAAGGCAAACGCCCTCCCCACTGTACTGTGCCTCGGTTTCTTCATCCGCTCACCTGGCGAGTCTGGGCCTTCACACTGTAAGCAGCTGTGTTGGACACAGGCGTGCAAATGTCCCTTTGAACGGAAATTTCTGTGCACTTGGGGGAGATGCCGGAGCCTCCTCTCCCCTGGGTGGGTATTTCTCAGTTTTCTCCCTCCAAGACCAGCTTGTCCCCAAGCCCAGCCCTTGTCTCCGGGAGCAGCACTGAGGCCGGCTCCCTCTTAGGGGAGTAAACCAGGAGGAAGAGGCACAGACAAACTGTCGCAGGAAAGTCAGACAGAGGAACCCAAACAGTCCTTTATCACTCAAATGAACGACTGACCACACATTCATTTGTTCATTCAGTCCTCGAGTTGGACTGCAGCCCTCGTGAAGCACCAGGGGACAGGGCTGGGAAGGCTTCCTGGAGGAGGGGAGATGGAGCAGAAGCAGGAAGCAGGACCACACAGGGCAAAGGTCTGCAGCGGGGCAACCAGGAAGGGAGTAGTGGTCCGTGAAGCCACACAAAGAGCCGGGGAGCGGGGCGACCAGAGGGTTGGGAGCGGAGAGGTGGGGAGGGGACAGAGTTCACGGGGTGCCCAGGCCTCACCCACGGGCGCCTGGGAGCCAGGGACAGGGACGGCAGAACAGAGACAGGAACACGCTCGCGTCTCCCTCC